AAAAAACAGGAAAGAGAGAAGGACAATCTTAAAAAAACACCAAAATTTAAAAACCCCACACATAAAAAAAAAATGAAACAATGAGGTTTTAACATAGTGGTTTTTTTTTTTTATATTATAGGGCTAGGGGGGTGAATTGCAGGGCATTTTTGGCGAGCGGGAGCGAGCGCACAATGAATGTATCTGCACGAGCAATCCTAGCATATTTCCAAGTTGCACTTTCGAACCAAGATTTGGAAGAGGTACAGCCTCGGTGATAGCTAAGTCATCTGTCTGTAATTATCGACCGCTTTCTCTCCTCTGCTCGGTTTCTAAAGTTCTGGAAAGACTGATCTACAATAATATCATCCCTTGAAAGAGAGAATTACGTGCAACGCGCATTGCGCTCTACGTGAGGGATTTCCCCTCCGCCCGTGTATGGCTCGTGCTATGCTCGCGTCCACTTTAATGCCCTATTTTTACTCGATGGGTTCACATATGCTTTTCCAAAAGTTTTGCTAATGCTAACCACATAACGAAGTATGTTAACCACATGACTAGAAGGGGGTCAGAAATACAGCGATTGAGTGTAACGTGTTGTGATCGACAGGAGAGATAGGCTTGGAACCATTTCCACTACCAGTGATTCCAAAACACCACAGCTTTACTAGAAGTTCGTTATGTGGGACACTGTCGAAAGCTTTCTTAAAATCGAGGTAAACAACATCAGCTTGACAGTTTGCCTGAAGGTAGCTAGACCTGAGGGGTAGTGAGGAAAACCAGTAACTGTTGAATTGTTGAATGCTTAGGACAAAATCCAAACTGCAAGGGAGAATTTGAGGGAGAAACAAAAGGGATGATTTTATTGTAGATCAGTCTTTCCAGAACTTTAGAAACCGAGCAGAGGAGAGAAATCGGTCGATTAATCTGCAAGTTTACGAAAGAGAGGACCCCCCAAAGAGGAATTCATAAGTAGGTGTCAAGAAGAAGGGTGGGCCTGCAAAAGTAAGTGGTCATGGCTCACTGGTAGAGACCAGTCCAGTTTCCCTTGACTCTGGAAGTGAGGTGAGGTCCAGCTCCTTCCATTCCCTTCAGAAACAACTCACTATCAAATGGCTTCAGCTGAGGTGGTGGCTGCAGAGACAGAGATACTAACAGAAATAGATGACCTCTATTTCTGGGTGGTTCTGTAGAGACTAAGCTACAATGGAACAACATTGTATAGCATATGTACATACCCTCCATGGGGAGACATCTCTCTTCAGTGGCATTAGACTAGCCAGATACCTCTCCTGTTGAAAAAAGATAAGAGAAAAAACAATCTCACTCTCTGACTTGTAGCAGCAGAATATACTCACCAGAGGTATGATAAAACTGGTAGTCAATTCCAGAGCATGTTTCTTGACCATCACATTCTGCACATTCCAACACACAAACAATGCTGTATAATATTATACCAGAGAATCTGTGGATTAGACAAAGTTTATACCTGCACCTCCATTGGCCTTTTGCCTGGTGGCGTCTAGTTAAGATGAGAAGGTGGCATTTTGCAGTAATGGAGTTTTGAAATTGAAAACAGTGTCTTCTGTAATGAGTATATACCTTGTTTGAGATGACCAGTCTGGCAAAGGTCTTGTCTTTCTGCAAGAAGGGCTTGTACCTGCTGAACACCCCTGCAAGGGAACACACAGTAAAACATTATTCATCTCCAGATAACTCGGAATATGCAGTGCTATGCTAAGAACACTATAGTAAGCCAACCATGGAACTGTTTGCTTTGTGCCCTGGGAAATACTAGGAATGTGAACAAGGGGTAATCTCCGTGACTTCATTGTAGTAGCTGAGGTGGACAAGTTTTGTTAGGCAAATGTGGTGACCTTCAGAGAGACACATGACCTGATAGTTGTGGAGTATGGGGTGGTATTCGTGTCAGTATTCAAACGTCGATTTTGCCAAGGCATTTCAGTTTTGCAGCGGCAAAATTAAACTGCCGCGGCAATTGCCCCGGCAAAACCTGGGCCGAAAAATCCGGGACATTTGCCGCGGCAAGAATAACTAGCTGGGCCATGTTCAATCGTGTCAGTATTCTTGTCGTTGCCGGGCCTTTTGCCACGACAAAAGTGCTCTTGCCTCGGCAAATTTCCATTTGCCGCGGCAATAGACCAGTTTCTCAATACATTGCTGGAGCCAGAACGGGACTCCGGATGTGACGTCACGTTCAATTATCTCCGCCACTTTACGTGCCATGCATACTTTTGCATCTAGACATCTCAATTGCCTATTATACAGCTATAGCTATACCTGGTCTGGTGTCAGAGAGGTCACCTGTTGTGGAGTAGCTACACTAGAACCACTCTGCATGCCACCTCAGTTACATTTTTGGAGTCATGCATCAGTGCTTAGTGAATATGCATACTTCTACATGTGTGCTTCCTTATTGGAAACTCACTTAGTCTCTGAATTGCATGTATGTATGATAGCACACAGCTACATATGGCTAGTAGCTAAATACTCATCTAGACTCTCAATTGCCTATTATACAGCTATAGCTATACCTGGTCTGGAGTCAGAGAGGTCACCTGGTGACCTGCTTCTCTGATGAGGTCTGCTCTCCTCTGTCCCTGGAGAGACATTGGGGGAGGTGATTGAGTGTGTGTGTGTGTGTGTGTGTGTGTATGTGAAGCAGCTCACTTAGGAAAAGCTAAACACTAAAAGAGACTTTTGCGGATGGTTAAAATAAACCACTGTATATACCAGGATTGCTGGATGAGATTTCTCCAAGTTTGATGACGTGAGGCCAGTGGTCCAGCGTCTTAGTGAAGAATGGGTTAGTCACTCCCAGAATGACCCGTGGACTGTGTGTGGGAAGGGGGAGGAGGGGAGGAGGGAGAGGGGGATGTGAGAAATAGGTTGACAGAGAGGAAAAAAGTGAGAACTTACGACTAACAGGGATGTAGTATGTCTGAATGAGAAAGGAAGGGCACAAGAAGAGTATACAGTCGAACCTCGCTAACATGAACTCCAGAGGACCATCAAAATGTTCATATTAAAATGCATTTAACCCTTTTGGACACCATGGGTATCTCCTAGTATTATAGCCATATATAAATTCTTACGGACTTATGGAGGCTCTGGGCATAATAATTATATAAGCCCGTGGCTTGCTAAGGGTTAAAAAGAGTATGTCGGCAGAAAGAGAGAGAGAGAAAGATGGGAGGATCTTACGGAGCCTGTGTCCTGGTGGTATAGTGTTTGAACTCAGAGTCATGTATGGTGAAGAATGGCCTGAAGTCTGAGGCATACTTGAGAGGGTGGAGGAGACTGAGGATAGGAGGGAGGTGGGGTCTCAAACGATGATAGATACAATCATTGTCAGTGTAAATATATACCTAACTAGGGCCTGGACTGTGTTAGCACAGAGTGTTGGAGATGGTCCCATCACGACGATAGGCTGGAGTGTATGCACGTGAGGGTAGAAAAGAAGAGAGAACAGCTCACATTCACTGTACCAATTCGAGCAATATAATATGCAGTACAGTATGTATGTGTACCTCATTGGTGATGACAAGTTCCCATATCATCTCAAAGTTGTTGAGGACTGGCTGCAGTGCTCTGCATATGTATGTGATATGTAATTAACCCTCGGCGCGCATGCGCAGCGAGGGTTACTGTAGTTGGGTTTGTCTGTCTGTGTGTACGTGTCTGTCTGTTACTCGTCATCTCACTTCTCGAGTGTTCGTTCGTCTCACAAAGGATACCACCTACTGAACGGGCAATGAAGGTCAGAAAATATGTGGGGTTTTCTCTGAAACTGCTCCGTTGCAGAGCTAGAGCGCGAAAAAGCTAATATGCAAATAGGCAACGGACGGGACGGCTTACCACGGTCTGATCGATCCGCGTGCTCTGCGTACCTCAGAGGCACCAGAAGATGCAACGCAGGGCGTGTATCGCCTCTCGCATGCTATCTAGTACTGTAGTTAGCCCGCGTCAGACTCTGCGCGAGCTGGGAAGAGACCACGAGTAACAGCTAAAACTAAACCCAGCCCATCAATTAGTGGTACGGCGCATGCGTTTACTTACGCGTGCGCGTCACAATGCGCCGAGGGTTTGCACTTCAGTGCTTTTCATTGATGCTGTAGAGACTCAATAACAATAGAGACTCACTGGTGGAGGTTGAGGTCATGTACTGACGGAATCACCACTACAGAAGACTGTATATCAGTAGAGAGAGAGTTATAAAAACCAATACTGTGAGTATGTATGTGTTCCTCACTGATTTCTTGATGACTGGACCCTCACCGTCTCTGGCAGCTGGCTTGTCTGACTTTGTCGGTAGCCTCACCTGCAACAAGGACACTATAGTCACACCTTTTACTCCTTCCTCGTCCCCATTTCCTTTTCCCTCCCTTCACATAACAAGACTAAATGTGTACACCCAGGACAGCTCTTTATTTTTCCTTGGAAAAAAAGAGATGTCCTGGGTGTAGGTGATTTGTTTGTTGTGCCTTTGCCTTTCTACCTCATAGTTTTCATATACATACCATAGATGATTTGTCTGAGGATAGATGCATGCATATTTGAGAACAAATACTAGGTCACGAAGATCCGTTTTGCTTACTTAGTTTTTAACCAAACAAAACCAACCCACTGCAGGGTAGCAGGTTAGGAGGGGAGAACGGAGCTACATACATACACACGTACATACATACATACATACATACATACATACATACATACATACATACATACATACATACATACATACATACATACATACATACATACATACATACATACATACATACATACATACATACATACATACATACATACATACATACATACATACATACATACATACATACATACATACATACATACATACATATATACATACATACAGTACACACGTACATAGATGATTTGTCCGAGGATAGGGAGATGTAGCTGTTGACCAGGTCTTGGTGGAGGCCACTGGTTCATGTTACCACATGCTGTGGGAAAGAGAGGAGGAGGGAGGATGGGAAGAAAGAGAGGAAAAAAGAGAGATGGAGAAGAAGCAACAATGACAGCATGATCAAACATCGATGAGAGTTAGCGGAAAGAAAGAAAGAAAGAAAGAGGGTTAGATGGGAGGGAGAACCTCTGCATAATGACCACACTCCACCTGCTTCAAGTGATGCTAGACCGTGTGTGAAGTACTCTGGAGCAATCCTCTGTATCTGAATGGACACACAGAGGCAATTTTTACCTGATGATGTAATGTTATCACAAGAGCTTGTCTAGTGCATTAATGACATAAGATAGTAGGTCCTTTACTCACAATGAAGTTGAAGAAAGTGATGTAAGGCAGTCTGGTCAGTAGAACAACTGACTGCAGTAAGAGACATGTCAGGAGAGAACTGAAATAAAACCAACTTGCAAAAGGCTCATAATACAAGTACATGTAGGCTCAACCTCAGCACACAACATGCGCAGGAACCAGTTTCTCTTTCGCTGTAAAAATTTTGTGTGTGGAAAGGTAAGTAGAATGCCAGGGCAAAGACATTACACACATGTACATGTACCTTCTGAAAATAGCCTCTTCTGATGTCGGAATCCTTCACTTGTCTGAAGTAGACAAACCCATAGTAGTAGGCAGGATCAGGCTGAGGAGGGAACACAATCATTTGGTTCAGCTATAACGATTCACCAGCTAAGACTTATAAAGCTAGAGCCAGCTTGCCAAGGAAGACAGGTCACTATAATAAAAGAGAGAGGAAAGTGAATTTTATACTATGAGAAATGAGACGGGGAGATAAGTGGTTGTTAGAGAAAGTGGAGAGGGAAAGTTGTTCACCGTGAGAAGTGAAGAATGTGTACCATGAGAACAAGAGGGGAAGAAGAGTCGTTACACAAGATGGGGTGAAGTACAATTACCATGAGAACGAGAGGGGCTCCGTAGTGGTGGTTGGTTGGTCTCAGATCCGTTCCACCTGTCCCAGACCCAGTACACCGGATCCTGATGTGGAACAGAGTGTCTCCCATACATCCTGCAGTCAGTAACACAAGGAGTACATTGTAGTCGTGGGTTGGAGTCGTAATGGTAATGTGTATATAACTCATAGATTAATGGAGGGCAGTAGTCATGGGTTTGGTGGGCTTATTGCAGAATTGTGTGCTCACCAGAGTTGGAGTCAGGGAAGGCCAGGTAGCAGATGTTGCTCTTTTCCGTGTCGGAGAGCTTGTAGTCTGACGGTATGACAGTCTAAGAGAACCAAAGAAATAGAGAAAAACAGTGACTTGGTGTGTGAGGTACAGTAACGCACCTCTCATCGCTTGTTTGTTGTGTTACCCTCAAAATGTAACTAATACTTCCCATGCAGCCAATTATACCAATACCTCCAGAGCCTGGCCTAACTCCAAGTCGAAGGTGACGACGCACACGCAGCAGACCCAGTTCGAGAAGAGCTCCCAGGTTTCTTTCTCCCCCAGCCCGCCTCCACCTCCCGTCCCTGTGGCCCCTCTAGGAGGACCACCCTCCGCCATTTTCTCGTAGCAGCTGCCTGATTCTAAATGATGCGCACCGACGGTACTGCAACGGACAAGGAAGGTGAGCTCGTGTACACAACGAGGTACACAGAGTTCTGGGAAACTGAAGCTGTGTTCATAAGCATTGTATTTACCGTCACATGACTCTGTTATATCTCTCTCTCTCCTTGTAGCAGCGTGACCGCAGGCAGACAAGCTGGGGCTGTTGCTAATGGCTCTGAAGACACCAACTAAGAGCCCCGAGCTGGGCATGTCTCCCTCCTCTTCGGCAGCTACACCTCCTCTGGTCCTAAACCTGTCACAAGGTGCACCCTCACCACCCTCCCCACAATCACACACCACGCAGCTTTCCTATGACGGAGTCACATGCGAATTCCCCACCAACCCACCTGAGAAATTCGTATGCAGCATATGCACGGGGTTGGTAAAGGACCCTCACCTCACCGCCTGCTGCGGCCAGGAGTTCTGCCAGAGCTGTCTCGAAAAGTGGGCGAACAAATCCGGGACAAATTCCTGCCCCCACTGCCGTCACGAGGAATTCGTCCATATTCTGGACAAACAGACACGACGCGAGGTAGAGGATCTACGTGTGCTCTGTTCGAAGAGAGCCCAAGGGTGCGAGTGGCAGGGCGAGTTGAGGGCGGTTAAGGCTCACCAGAGAGACTGCGAATATACTCCAGTCAAATGCCACAACTGCTCCATGTCTGTTCCGCGGAAAAACTTTGACAAGCATTCGACTTCCGAATGTGCGTTTCGCGATGCAAAGTGTGTCTACTGTGACAAGGAGGACACTTATCTGAACGTCATTTCGTTTCTACACCTGGCCGTGTGTCCCGGTTACCCAATGGGATGTCCCAATAGCTGTGGGGCGACCGACATCAAACGTTGCAATTTCACGGCCCACCGTGATTCCTGCCCGCTGGAGGAAATTCGCTGCCCAGCCGGATGTCCTTCAAAACTCCTACGGAAAGATCTAGAAGCTCACGTGACGGCTAACCAAACCCAACACCTCCTCCTGCTCATGACAAACTTCCAAAAGTCCCAGCTTGAACTTCAGACCCAGCGCAAGGAACTGAGAGAGCTCAAAATGTTCAAAGTCACAATGTCAGAGGCGAGTAGAGAGGGTGTCATCCAGTATGGACCACCTACTGAGGAAGAGTCTCACGACCAACTTGGTTCCCCTCAGATCAATTCGGGCCCTCCTCGGTAGCAGTGGAGCTCTGGTTCTCGATGCTGACCACAGGGAGATCTCTCTCGTTCTCCCAAACTTCTCGCAGCTCGAGAAGAAAGTGACGACTTCGTGGGAGAGCATCCCGTTTTTTCTTGGTCCCGGATACAAAGTATGCCTCGCGTTCGTCCAGAGAAAATCCAGCAACCTAGCAGCCGAGATCCGTCTCCTACCTGGGGAATTTGATTACGAACTGCCATGGCCGTGTAGCATCGACTTCAGCAACATCTCCATCTGTCTATCGCCAGTCAAAGACGGCAACAACAGTGACGCAATCTGGCCTTCAAAGAGATTTCAACAGTCGTTCAACCTCTCATTGAAGGGGAGGGTATACACTGGTGTACCACGCTGTGCCCTCGGTTCACACTTTTACCACATTCTCTGGCAGATTGAGAAAGTAATGGACCCTCTCCCTCCCGCTCCATCCGCCATTCGCAGCCTCTACCTTCAAAACGATTGTCTCGCCATTGCTCTCACTTGGGGAGCACCCCGCGGTTCGATAGGCGTCTTTGAAAAGTTGTCACTGAAGATGCAAAAGTCGTCAATTAATGGGGGAAACGAAGGGGCAGAAGGCGGGAATGAGGTGGTTAGAGAGGGAGGGATAGCTGTGTCAACGTCGATTGGTGGGGATACGGGCACAGCTGGTCGGATAGTCAGAAGACACAGGAGAAAAAAATAAATACGCTCTGTCCGGAGAGTGTGGCACTGAAAGCTCATTATGTTACTTAATAATGTAGTCCAAATTTTAAGTGACATAGCATGTGTACATATTATTGTTAATACCAATATTGCACACGTGGTTGTGTTAGTGTTGTTTTTAATCGTTTGTGTGAAGCACTGATTCGCATACGTTATGCAGCAATGGGTGAGACCAGCAATATGGGTGAAAAGTGTACAAGGCCTAACTGCATGATAGTTCCTCTATGCCTGCAGTTCTTGTATTCCTCTGTCCCTGGAATCTTCAGGGATGGTCGTCCCACTATTTTCTCCTCCTCATCATCATCATCACTCTCACTACTGCTGCTAGTAGAGCCACCGCTAGTCAGCCCAGACTCCTCCTCGGCCAGCGGTATCAATGCCAGATCCTGTAGGACACATTGCAGTAAATGATACCAGACCGATAGACTCTGTAGCAGCATAGTAGCTAGCTTGTCTCGTATGTATATAGCTCCGCACTAGGTGGCCAACTGTTTCACGTTTCTTTTGTATATAGTGAGGACTAAAACTTTTGTGACGTTTCAGAGCAAAACTTGGAAAGTTTTTCCACAACATTTGGTGGTCTGGGGCCTATTTTAACGGTGAGTAACCAGAAATGATGCCAGTTTTCCACCAAATCAACATTCTCTCCCCCCACAGTTTTCCTCTAAAGAGTGTGTGCCTAGATAATCACCATAGAAATGTGAGGCTCATCTTCACTGATATTCTCAATGTCCACTTCACTGGGAGACCCACTGTCCACCATCTCCTGCAGTTGGCTCTCTGCTGCTGCCAGCTGCGGCAGCAACATCCTCACACGACCCAACGCTGCAGGAGAACATGTACATATAATACCACTTCTGTATGAGCTACAGGTACACATTATCTTTGCTTATGAGTTATATCTGATTTCTAATTATTTTCTTAGAACGCACCGCTGCTCTTTTCAACTCTGAATGTCTTCGGAGGTCCTCGACTTGTTCGACCATTCCCACTCAGTTCTCTCCTGACAAAAGCAACTCCTGCAGACACATGGGGTTGTTTATTTCCACACTCGTAAAATAACACTAGTCTCACCTGCTCCCTGCGGAGGTAGCAGTAGTTCCGAGGAGCGAGCCGCTCTCTTCCTCCCGGCCATGTGCGACCTTTCACCTTTGTGATAAGTGCCCCGCCCACTTTATACACTTGAAAAATGGCCGATGAGCCCGTGGAGATCTCGGCTCTCAACGCCAACGTCTCCTTCATCACAGACACTGTTTCTGGTAATCTGCAGTGGTTTGCGAACAGTCTCGTGGAGAAAAACTTCATTACTCGCCGAGTGGCGCAGGGAGTTCTAGCGACGCCACAGTTAGCTCCTGATCGGCAGGCCGGGCAGCTCTTGGACAGCGTGTTTACCAAGATACGGACGTCGGACACTAGACAGCGACAGTGGTTCGATGCGTTCGTGGACATTTTCTCCCGTGACGGGGCTTACCAGGATCTCGTGAGAAGGCTGAAGAAAGGTGTGGGCAGTAAAACTAATGAAGGACCCACAGGTATATTGAAAATCAAGCCTCAGACATATTGCTCATTCACGCTTCTATTCTCTATCCGTTTTTCATCTCAGATAACCCTGCCTCTTACAAACCAAGAATTACACCAGCAGGTATGATAGTACATAGCTACCCAAGGAGTTAGAGTGAACTATGGTATATAGGACACCTTGGGGGCAGACATTCAAAGTGTCGTTTATTGGCATGACTTTTTCGGTGGAACTATACCTCTGTGTGGGGAAGAATTAACTTTCCTTTATAGAGAGGTGTCTTTTATTTGAAGGGTCCTTTTTCAGAGGTTCCATTTTACATGTGGAAAATTTTTTCATGCCCTACTTGTTGTGGGTCAGATTTTGCAGATTTCCCGTCGCCAGAACTGATAGACCTGCTGGAGTTGGTTGGCATGGACCTGCGAGCACAGTGGAAGGATGTCGGGACCAAACTAGGCATTCCTCAGCCAGATCTGGAGGCTTACGATGAAGACTATCGGGGAAATTCCTTGCGGTGTATCACTAAAGTGTTCAACACGTGGCACGATGGGATAACCAGCGAGTATTCGTGGAGACAACTGGCTAAAACAATGTGCTCGCCAATTGTGAACAAAGGTGGACTTCTTCCAGCCTTATATGATACATTGAGAAATAAATATGCCACATGACTTCATAATCATACAATAGCGGATGTTATTGCTGTGTCATTGTGACCATAATTTTTCTTGTATCCTGGCCTTCCCTATCTTAAGGAATTCATTAACTTCGCAAGAGACGATCAGATCCTTTCTCATTGCTCCAGCCTCTGTCACCAACTGCTTTCCCATGTCACTCAGACCAGTGTCAGCCATACTGAGGAGTATCGTTGCAGTTGCGATTGAGTCAAGATCGTTCTCCATGCATGCTGAAGTTACTTACTATATTTCTTTGACAGACTCTGACTTGTTTTCTCTCAGTGCCTGTACTATATGCCCTGCACCAGTGTCTCCAAGGCGGTTTAATCCAATACTGTACGAATGGGAACACTCGTAATAATGCCATATGTGCCGACATACAATGTTAGCTACTCACTTCATCCCTGTGAATGCTGTCGTCTTTTTGAAGAATTCGACAAACTTGTGCATTTCTCGACTTGTAATCTCGCACCCAAAAATCCTGCATGTATATATCATATTGAAGCCTATATACGTGCATAATGACTTTGTATAATACCCCAGTTTCTTGAGTGCATCTGGTTTCTTTATGAGAGCATCCAAAATAATGGAAAATCCATCGTCTCCAATAGGATTCCTTGAAAGGCTGGAGTATTTTAGATCATGTTGCTTCAAGGTAAGAGGCACACCCACTTACTCAATACGTTCCACAGAGTTGTCTGTCAACAGAATTTCGGCAATAATGTGGCAATCGGGAGCGGTGAAGTTATTCCGATCCATTCTGGACGGAGGCAGTATAATAATAATTATAGAATTAATCCCACAACCTACTGAATTGTGGACTTGGAGTTCTACCTGATAACGCTGAGAGTACGGTTTGTTTTCAATGCATTTGCAAGGAAGCTGAGTCCAGCACCTGTTAATCCAGCAGTATACAAACTGCAGGAGAGGATGCTCATCTATTAGAAACCTCATGAATATTATGATGCCACTCACCCTAACTCCTCCAGAACTGTGTTTTGACAGAGAGCTGCTGAAATGTACTCTGCTCCCCTGTCACCAAGTTTATCAAAGCCGAAACTACACACACAATTGCAACATATGCATACTTTTACACTGGTCAAACACTCACTGCAAGGCACTGAGGGTTTTACTGCTCTGTAGCACCTCTGAAAACCACTTTGCTGCTCCAGAAGTAAAACCACAATCCCTGAAACTGTAAAAAAAATCCATGCATGAACCTGCTGCACGATGCTTTACAAAACACTCACTGAAGCTGTTTAACGCGTGAACTATCTTCCTTGAGAGCTTTTGACAACAATCTTGCTCCCTCATCTCCGATCTTGTTAGATGCGATCCTACAAAAAGTGTTCATAAAGGTAATTTAGTTAAACACTGCACATCACTTACTCCACATTGATGATTTTTGCCTTTAGTTCCAGAAACATCTCTGCTACATGGCGCATGGCACTTGCATCCAACTGGTTGTGTGTAAGACTGTATAATACATAAAAATGGTGCATGAAAATGACAGAGAAAACACGAGCGTTGGCTTACTCGAGACGAATTATCTTCAGGTTTTGGGAATCGTGTATCTTCAGTTGCCATTTGAAGACCTCCAGACCGTCCCCTCCAATGTTGCAACCTCTCAGGTTCACCTGCCATTTCCCCTCTGATTTCCCCATCACATATGCAGCACAGAGACAGTCTGTGGCATTGAGAGTGGTGTTGTCCAAGTGAAGCATGTGTTCCATCTTGCCTGCCGCACGGTGGCAGATGTCCGGATTCTGAGCCTCGTAGAGACAGTGTAGGAGAAATAGCTGGTCGCGACCGCCTTTACGTGTGGGGAGAACGAGCTGCTGGCAGAATGCTTCGTCTCGAAGCTTTGACACACCGGAAAGAAACTTCCAGATGTTTTGAAACTGCCTATCACTGCGATACTCTTTAAGCAAACGTGTGCGATCCATGTCTCCGATGCTATTGATCTGAAGCCCAGCCAGGAATTCCTGGATCGACAAATGCCGGAACTGATACAGGGGCTTTCTGCCAGCTGTGGCAGATTGCGTGCGTGTAGTGAGAAGCCCAAAGCCATCGAACTTTTCTCCCGAACAGGGCAAGCAATGCTCTTCTAGATCACACCTTTCAAAGATGAAGGCTTTTTTCTCAAAACCGCTAAGAGCCAACTTACACAGGCCCTCAAATACCTGTCGAACTTCTTTGGGGATTGTGTCTAGAGAATCTAGACCAATAAGCGAACGAAGGCTGTCGCTCGACGACTTTTGAAGATTGTGAAAGAGAAAGGTGCAGACGTACTTGTCGTAGAGCTCTGTCAGTGTGATGGGGAGACTGGTGCTCTTCATAGCTACGGAGCAGATGATGGAGAGAGTGAGAGGGATGTGGGCAAGAGCTCTGAGATTGGGAAACCGCTTGAGGTGGTCACGAACCCTCTGAGGCACAGCTGGGTCCTCGATGTTCTTTTGAATGTACTCATTCTGTTGGTTTTTGTCAAAACCAAGAACTTCGATTCTTCGCTCGTCCATGTAGTCATACAGAGGAGCCGTGACAGAAGGACGGGAAGTGACCATGATCGAGGCATTCGGAAGCTTTTTGGCTTTTATCAGCTCAAAGAACCACGAAAAAGGATCTCGTAGTGCGGGTGATAGCTCGTCCCAACCCTCCAGGATAAGAAGGACCTTATCCCCTCCCGTGCGGACGAGGTGCTGCATTACTTCCTTCATCATCTCCTGGTCACCTTCCAAGTGTGTCTCTAGCAAAGTCTCAAGTTTCAGTGTGGTCTCCTTTTGGTACTGTCGAAGCTCAACAAAGAAGACGATGTCATACTCTTGCAGAGCCCTCCCCTGTGCCCACAGCTGGCAAAGTTTCATTGCCAGCATTGTCTTCCCTACCCCCGGCGCTCCCTCCACCAACACCAGTTTTCTCGGGTCCTTACCGTACCGAAAGATGCCCTCCATTTCAAGGCGTTTCTTTTTCTTGACAATGTCCTCCACGTGACCGTGAAGAGTGGCTCTGAGAAACTTGTCCTTCGACCTTTCAGCCTCACTCACCCCCTTTTTTGTTAGCAGAGCCAGACGGATGAATTTGATGTCGTAGATGAAAGGTCCCGAGGTGCCCTGGTAAAAGTGTTTATTCTTGTACCAACCTTTCAAGTTGGAGACGAAACATTGCAGAAGTGTCGGGGAGGAGGAGCCTAGTGTGCCCGGTCTTGGTGCTGCAAAATGAGTTGTTGACGATATTATCTTACACCCTAGCAAGTGTGCTAGTGTAACTTACGGTTTTGTAAAGATCTTTCAAGTGCTTCAGCAATAGTTTTGTGTGTGGGGTGGTCTGCAGCTGCTTCTAGTGCTGCCAGGAACCGGTGAAATCCATCCTCTCCCTTTCTCCCTATGATTGTGACTAGTCTCATGATCTTTTCACTCTCAGTGAGACCAATCAGCAACATTTCCTGGTTCTCTGCCTCAGTCAGTAGAGAGTTGACATTGAGGTGGGGCAGGATTGACATCAGGTTGAGGTTGTCGACTATGAGTGGCTGGTTTTCCCTCAGAGCTCTTATGTGGTTAGATTCGCCTACTGAGCCTGTGGAATTCATTGAAACAACAGTGGCTGACCACCAACTTCACTACAGATACACCCACAACATTTTATGAGTTGTACCTGCTGGTTCTTCAAAGTCCTCAGTGACGTACTGCCTTGAAAACTCTGTTGGAGACAGGCCATCCAAATACAAACCTAAATCGTCAGCCAACATGGTATATGTATACTGTATACTTGAGGGATGTATGGCTATAGACCTTCATGGGGGAAATGTTCCACAGTCATCCGTTTAGTTGGGGGAGGAAGGTTTTGCGGGCTTCTGATGCCTGTGTCAAAAAAGAAGAGACTAGTAAAACCGAAGGAGTCAATAGCCCACAAATGCTGCATCACCTGCACAGTCTCCTAGTAAGTATATTAAAGAGCTTTCAAGTGCTTCAGCAATAGTTTTGTGTGTGGGGTGGTCTTCAGCTGCTTCTAGTGCTGCCAGGAACCGGTGAAATCCATCCTCTCCCTTTCTCCCTATGATTGCGACTAGTCTCATGATCTTTTCACTCTCAGTGAGACCAATCAGCAACATTTCCTGGTTCTCTGCCTCAGTCAGTAGAGAGTTGCCATTGAGGTGGGGCAGGATGGACATTAGGTTGAGGTTGTCAACTATAAGTGGCTGGTTTTCCCTCAGAGCTCTTATGTGGTTAGATTCACCTACTGAGCCTGTGGGATTCATTGAAACAACAGTGGCCAACCACCAACGTTACTACAGATACACCCACAACATTTTATGAGTTGTATTGAATTTACCTGCTGGTTCGAAGTTCTCAGTGACGTACTGCCTTGAAAACTCTGTTGGACACAGGCGCAGACCTAAATCGTCAAGCCAACACAGTATACGTATACGGTATACTTGAGGGATGTATGGCTAACCTTCATGGGGGAAATGTTCCACAGTCATCCGTTTAGTTGGGGGAGGAAGATTTTGCGGGTTTCTGATGCCTGTGTCAAAAAAGAAGAGACTAGTAAGACTGAAGGAGTCAATAGCCCACAACTGCTGTATCACCTGCACAGCCTCCTAGTACCACATCGTGTTCTGCTGCACCAGTTGGATGCTTTCGTTTTGCACCTGTACATACAGCTTATCTTTAGTGGGAGCATAATAAACACTGGCATTACCAGTCTTGTGTGGCTCTTCCATTGGCAATGGTGGCTGACTTGGTGGGACAGCAGCATCATTTCTCAGGTAAGAGGCAGGCAGGGGCTCAGAAGTACATGGCCTACTGTCGGAGGCCAGAGCCGAGAAAACAGTTTCACTTTTCATACTACCTCCCTGAGGTGAGAGAGAGAGAGAGAGAGAGAGAGAGAGGGGGGTTGAAAGCTTATCATGGACACCCCCTGCTAACCCTCTACCAAACCCCCAGCCAAGGACAGCTGAGCCACTCTCAGAACTATACAACCAGAAGACGTGCTTGTCAAGTCCAAGAATATTGGCGAGAATATCTTTCACCTTACATACCTGCCCGTAGGTGAGAGATGGGCAGTTGTGAACTGTGAGAGCAATAAGGTGGGCTGGATTATGAGCTGCTTCAGTCACCCTATAGCCTACAACGTTGAACTCCATGATACTTTGTGCATATGCCAACACCTCCTGGTGCAACTTGTGCTGCCCCAGCCTCTTTAGTAGCTCACACAGCAAATCGACTTCGTACTCGTGGCAAATTCGCAAATCACACAAATACTGAAGTAAGGCAGGCACAGCACATACCTCCCCCGTGATACAAAGATTTATGCCACAACTTTGTAAAATTTCAAGCAATGTTGTCCTGATGGAAGAGTTACGGTAGAAATATTGCCAACCAGTGTTGAAAACTGCTGTGAGACCCTAAAAGGGCCGTCCCGCTCAATAGAGGGAGCGCCAAACGTAGGGGAGAGTGGCTCAGAGAGGAAGAGGTGACTTTGTTGAATGTCTCCATCCTGTGGAGAGATGAGAATAGATTTCTACAGATTATGTAGGAGTTGTTAACCCTCGGCGCAGCGAGGGTTATAGTACTTGGTTTGTCATTCCGTCCGTCCGCCCGTCTGTCTGTCTGGGAGGTGGGACGGGAGGTGAAAAGGATGTGGTGGTGGATGGGGCAAGAGACTCCTCAGAACTAGTGGCTGGTGTGGTTCCTGAAGTCGCAGGAACGTGTAGAGATGAACTAGCGGAAGGGCTGGCCGGAATGGGAGATTGTAGTTGTTGCTGGTTTGTTTGGCGGACGTGGCGTTTCAGTTTCTCGACTAGTTCTGCGTAGGCTCGGTCAGCGGAGAAAATAGATACGAACTCAGCAAACCAGTGGCTCCTCCTGTCCGACGTTCGGATTACAGCGAAAACGCCGTCAATAAGCTGACCGGCCCTGTTCGCGGGCGTGGATCCGCTGCTTAGGATTGCCTGCGCGGTCCTCTGCGCAATGAAGGCTTTCTCCACGAGGCAGTTCGAAAACCATTGTAGATTGTCTCCGACCGTCACCCTGTCAGTGATGGAAGTGAGATTCGTACGAAGCGCTGTGATCTCGGGGGGCTCGCCGTTGTCGGCCATGATAACGTAGCGTAAGGGAACGAGCAAAATTGGGGCGTATGGGGGGAGATTAGTGTCAACATTACGCACACCAACCTCCGTTAAATAAGATAGTCGCAATACGTACATTTTGGTATAATTATACACACGTCCTTTTTACCTTCGGCGCGCATGCGCAGCGAGGGTATGTAGTTGGGTTTGTCTGTCTGTCTGTCTGTTATTCTCAATCTCACTTCTGAAGTGTTTGTTCGTCTCACAAACGATACGACCTACCTAACGGGCGACGAAGGTCAGAAAATAAAGGCGGCTTTCTTGGAAAACGCTCCGTTGCAAAGCTACAGCGCTTCCACCATTGTACGGCTAATGCATAGTCGGCCATTTTTGTCGCTGCGGAAAACGCGCATGCGCTTATATTTTCAACAGCCTCGACCGGGTCCGCTTGTTCTGTGTATCTTGAAGGCACAATAAGTCACAACGAAGGGTGTGTATCGACTCTCGCATGCTATCTACTACTGTAGCTAGCCCGTGTCAGACTTTCTGCGAGCTACTAGCGGGAGACCACGAGTAAACGCATATATAATAATACCAGCCCAGCCCATCAATTAGTGGTACCGCGCATGCCCAATTCGCCGAGGGTTTGCACTTTAGTGCTTTTCATTTATTTGGGTACCCCAGTTCTCATTCGGGTATAATAATTTATACTCACTTTTTTGGGTATAATGTTACAGGGGCATTCCCCAGGGGCCGTGTGCTTGTGCGGGAATTTCCCTACGCAACACCGCGGTGATAAAACCGCGCTAATTTTGAATTTAGGGCGTCCTTCGAACTAGACAACAAGGATGGAGGCTTCTGCAGGTCACGAAGAGCGGGTACGGGAGCTAGAGAGGGAGCTGGACTCCCTGCGAGCTCGTGTGGAGGAGAAGGGTAACACGGTGGTACGGGCGGCAGAGCTGGTCAGGCGCTCCTGAGATCGAGAGAGAACGAGGCTCTGGAAGAGAGACTGAACCAAGTCAACAAGGAGGCCACTCTGAAAATAGAGGCAAGGGATATCCTCCGACTGTTGTATCTGATCCTGTCTGGTCCCCTGGCAGGAGCTGGAGCAGGAGAGGTTCTCCTTGCAGCAGAAGATGGAGTGCCAGAAGGCGACGTTGCAGGCGGTACAACACGAGGCAGAGTCTGCCAAGGCTGACCTCCGACAAGAGTTTGAGATGAGGGAGGAGCACCTCAAACAGGTCCTACAATATAGCAATAATGGTGTCCATTTACGAGCATACATATGACAATGTCGCAATGAACAAAGAGGTTACTTCTGATCTGTTGTGAAGCTATTCCACGGATAAGTGTGCAACAATAATAATAGTAGATGGGCGAATACAAATTGATATCCTCTCAAAAGCTGACCAACTATGACTGGCAGGGCCACTCCAAGAAGGTGACTGAGACGGAGCTACTGCTGTTTGACCTGAGAGGGGAGAACGAGAGATTGGAGACCCAGGTCAAGTCTGCCAGAGACAAGGCCGCAGGGCTGGAGGAGAGACTCAGAGAGATGGCCGAACAGGCAGATAGTGCCGCGGAGTCCTTTCACCTCCAGCCATCTCTATCCGTTTTTCATCTCAGATAACCCTGCCTCTTACAAACCAAGAATTACACCAGCAGGTATGATAGTATATACATAGCTACCCAAGCAGTTTGAGTGAACTATGGTATATAGGACACCTTGAGGGCAGACATTCAAAGTGTCGTTTATTGGCATGACTTGAAAGGTGGAACTATGCTTCTGTGTGGGGTGGAACGAGCTTTCTTTATAGAGAGGTGTCTTTTATTTGAAGGGTCCTTTTTCAGAGGTTCCATTTTACATGTGGAAAATTTTTTCGTGCCCTACTTGTTGTGGGTCAGATTTTGCAGATTTCCCGTCGCCAGAACTGATAGACCTGCTGGAGTTGGTTGGCATGGACCTGCGAGCACAGTGGAAGGATGTCGGGACCAAACTAGGCATTCCTCAGCCAGATCTGGAGGCTTACGATGAAGACTATCGGGGAAATTCCCTGCGGTGTATCACTAAAGTGTTCAACACGTGGCACGATGGGATAACCAGCGAGTATTCGTGGAGACAACTGGCTAAAACAATGTGCTCGCCAATTGTGAACAAAGGTGGACTTCTTCCAGCATTACACGATGAATTGAAAAAGAAGTACATGTAAATAATTCAATTTCGCGCACTGAAAATGGTATAAAAGATATTAGTGTTTATTGTTTCCGAATCTCTTCTTGGAATCTCTCTCTTCTTTTGTGAACAGATGCGTTGACTTCATCAGACAATGTCAGATCTTCTCTCATTGCTCCGGCCTCTCTAATCAACCGCTTTCCCTTCTCAGTGAGGCACGTGTTATTCACACTGTGAAATGATGGATTTATAGCTATATACTTATGATCGCACAAAGCCCTGTAGATTTCCAATGGCGGGAGTCCAAATTTTACGATACAGTGGAGAAGGGACCCCGACAGTTGCATTCGTACCAAGTTTTCTTGTTTGAATGTTTCCTAGTGTATCAACGGCAGTGTAACTTACTATACTTCCTTGACAGACTCTGACTTGTTTTGTTTCAGAGCCTCTACTATGTGCTCGGCCCCAGCATCTCCAATCGGATTCAGTCCAAAACTATAACAAAACCGAGTGTAGAGCTACCAAGCTAGACACATATATTATACTTACTGCATTCCCTTAAACACTGTGGTTTTCTGGAAGAACTCAACAAACTTGTGCATTTCCCGACTCGAAATTTCACAGCCATACAACCTGCATTAGTTTTATTACGGAACTGCACTCTGGTGCAAATAATTTTTTTACCCAATTTTCTTGAGTGCATCTGGTTTCTTGATGAGTGCATCCAGAATGACTGAAAAACCATCGTCTCCAATTGGATTCCTTGAGAGGCTGTACACACAGGACAAAAAGTGATTGAGGAAGAATGAAATTCAAAGCTATTGTTTGTATTAGAGGTTAAAGACGCTGGTATGTTTCAGTTTGAATGCTAAGCCATTTTTGTAGCTGTTGTATTAATTAAGTGCTCTATCATGATGTGAGTCTGCTTACTCAATCAGGTCCAAGGAGTTGCTAGTCAACAGCATTTCAGCGACAATCCTGCACTCTTCAGGACCCAGCTTATTCCGGTCAATCCTGAATAAGGAATATCACAAACTGACAGATAGATGCTAACATTGTACTCACCTGATAATCTTAAGGGTGTGGTTTATTTTGAGTGCATCTGCAAGGAATCTGAGCCCAGCACCAGTTAGCTCTATACTAGCCAGACTGGTGGAATAATTCCCAAATTAAAC